AGGCAGCAGCCGTCTGTCTCCCTTCTGTGGAGGACCAGCCTGCTATGCTGATTACAGTTCCTTTGTTTTTCTGGTGACTGGATCATTTACTATAGCTTCTGCTACTGAAGCTTCTCCTGCCTCCTCCTCCTCCTCCTCCTCCTCTTCGCCCTCCTCTTCTCCCCTCCCCTGCCTCCTGGGACAGGGTATCGTGCACTCCAGGCTATAGAGACCAAATTCACTATAGAGACCAAGATGACCTCTAACTTCTAATTTTCCTGCCTCTGCCTCCTGAGTGCTGGACTTCGTGGCATGCACCACAATTCCTGGTAAAAGTGGTGCTTTGTGTAGCAGTTGCTAAGCAATGGAGCTACAACCCCCAGCTCCATAGCTTCTTTGAAAGCTGTGATCCTCTACTAGGAACAGTTTTCCATCACCCTTGTCTTACCCAGTGGCCCAGGGGACGTGTGACAATAACTAGAGACAGTTTTCTTTTATTGTTGCTGCTGGCATCTAATGAGCAGATTCAACATCGCATAGGGCAAGCCCCCCACCCCTGATGAAGAATTATCCAGATCAAAGCATGATTCAGGCCCTAGGTGAAAAACCATGACTTCTTTCTTTCTGCTTAGAAACCCTGTGTTAAAAATAATAATATTTTATTTTTACTCGAAATTGCATTTTTAACATTTTATTAAATAAATTAACTTTTTCTCTTTTTCTCTCACTCTCTCCGTATGTATGTACGTGTGTGTGTGTGTGTGTGTGTGTGTGTGTATGTGTAGATGTGTAGATTAGAGGACAACTTGTGGGAGTCTGTTTGTTCCTTTCCTTTTGTGAGTTCCAGGGATCATCAATATTGGTGGCAAGTACCTTTACCCACAGAGACAACTCGCTGGTTCCAGGAAAATATCTTTGAAAAAGTATAGCTTATTTGTTTCTCCACTTACTCATCTATTTTCTCAGCAGATATTTATTATTGAGCATAGCAAGTGTCCAACCAGTCCTGTTTCCGTGTGGTGCTGGGCTCACTGGTTCATCCATTACATTATGCTGTGTCCTGAGCATCCACTCTGCCAGGCATTGGAAGCCTATATGTAGGATCTTCCTCACATCCGGGTTACCTTCTAGGAGATGCGAGGCAAGAGTCAATGCACAAGCCGATCAACCATTGGTTAATACAATGGAGACTACCAAACAGTGGAAAAGGAGTCAGTGACCAGGGCAGGGGTGGCTTTTTTGGAAGGCAGGGACAGAGAAGGCCTTTCTGCATAGGTCACAAAAGTAGTCATGAATAGTGGGGAGGATGTACATTTAATGCAGAGACGGCAACTACTTCTTCAGAGGTTCAGGGAGGGGAGGGTGTGAGTAGGCTCAAAGACCAGAAGATTGGAAGGTGCTGAAGTGTGGGTGGGAGAGGGTGGGTGGATGCATAGAGCATGAGAAAATGGTTGGGAGTACAGTGGATCAGGACTCGACTAATCTCAAGAAGACAGGGATTTAGACTGGGTTCCAGATTCTCTCTCTCTCTCTCTCTCTCTCTCTCTCTCTCTCTCTCTCTCTCTCTCTCTCTCTCTCCCTCCCTCCCTCCCTCCCTTTCTCTCTCTGTCTATGTATATGTGTGTTAACACTCAGGAGAGAGTGGGAAGAAGAGAGGATGTCTTAGTTATTGTGCT